AGGTAGGTAGGTGTAGGTAGGTAGAGGTAGGGGTGTGTGTGTGTGTTGTGTGTGTGTTGTGTGTGTGTGTTGTGTGTTGTGTGTGTTTTCGTGTGTATATATAATAATATATATATATATATGCATAGTTGGATGTATGTATGTGTATATGTCTATGTAGATGTAGATGATGTAGAGGTACACATCCACATCTAGGTATATACGGATGTGGATATGGATATGGGTGTGTGCGTATGCATGTATGTATGTGGGCAAAAGTATGCGTGCATGCATGGATGTATGCATGCATGGATGTGTGTATGCATGCATGTCTGTATGTATGTATGTATGTATGTATGTATGTATGTGTATATGAATTGAAGCAAGCAACCACACCATGACAACAAAAGGCACCGGGGGCTGCTCATCGACTCCGGTCGGCATTTCGAGCCGATCGCGCAGGCAAGGAACCATTCAACACTCGTTTATCCTCACAGTTGCAGGTTGGTGCAAGGATCCTGCGATGCTGCTGGTAGCTAGTGTAAGCCACATGCTGGCTGTTAATATTGACAGTTGGTTGTAGGCAGTAGGTATTCGGGGCATCAGGCGTGTGCGGCTTGTTCGGGGTAAAGCCCAGGGCCTTGAACATGTTGCGAATTGGCAGTTGTAAGACAATGCGAAGTACTTCCATTGTGCTGGAGCCCGGCTCCCGGAGGTGTATACAAGCCCAGCAAGCAAGACAATACACCTCCAAAACAAATCATCCCGCCATTCATAAGTCATAAGGGCCCGCAGCCCTTAACTCCCAAACCCTCTATATCCCTCCATCATTGGGCCTTCGGAGACTTCGGGCACTCCGAGTGTCCGAGCAGTCGGAGGTGAAGGCTCTCTTGGATTCCATGCAGTACGCCAAGCTGAACGTGCTCCACTGGCACCTGACGGAGGACCCGGGCTTTCGTGGTGTTGTCGGCCGAGCAATCTGAACCTGACAAGTTTGTAAGCTTGTTCAGAGTGTTCAGAGTTTGTAGTGGGTCTTGGTGATCTGCACCTTGCCCGAAGCTTTCGTTCGTGCGGCATGTTTGCCTCACAAGCCGTGGAGTCTTCGGGGAATTAGTAGGCCGCTCTGAATCTTCAATTCCGCTCTCTTTTCCAAACAACAACCATAATATGCCTGCAAGCCCTGTGCTCACAGGACCAGTCCTTCCCCATGGCCAGCCGCTCCTTCCCAGAGTTGCCCCAGCATGGCGCCTACAGCGACCAAGAGCAGCCGCCCGACTGCAATAAAGGTTTTGCATATTTAGAAGGAGTTTAGGGGTCTATGTTACTATAGACTATAGTCAAAACAGAAAAGCGGACCATAACGGGGTACTGCAACTGTTTGTTCCGACTCCTTTCTTAGAGGGTTTGCTAGAGGGTTTGAATATTTGGGAGGTGTTCGTTGGGAGGAACGGCTTATTCAGTGTCGGATGTAAGGAGATGGTGATTTCGCTGCACAAGATCCGAGAATTCCCATGATTCCCAAGACAATTGACGGGTTTCGTTCTGGGTATCCTGTGCTTCGACGAGTCTATTTCTGACGGTCGCTGTCCCCATATAGGTGAATAGTTGATGCAAGCATGCTGCACTCCTGTGCTGAGGTACACCTGGCAGGAAATCAGTGACGTGGTGCAGCGACTCTGCCTGAGAAGTTTATCGATGCTGGTGTCACGCTCAGGCTGGTCAGGAGATATCTAGGCCGGCGCAGAGGAAAGCACGACGCGCAAGAAAGTTCAACAGACGAAACTGAAATCTGCTCGCACGAACTGAGTTACCCACGGAGGGTTTTGCCACTTAGGTATGCCCGTGACCGCGGCATCCGTGTTATTCCCGAGTTCGACATGCCCGGCCACTCCTCTTCCTGGAGGAGTGCTGCGGGCTGCGGAGGGTGCCGGTAGTTTGTGCTGCGATGCGGTACGGCCTCACTAGGTGAGACTGGGAGAGAGATGCAGTACCCGCTGATTGACGGGTGCACGTCTTTCGTACTCGTGGCTTACATCTATCCTTGGTACGTCGGCGGCCGTTGAAACGAGGGATTTGTAATCCTTGAGCAAACCTGTGCGCAGGAATTCGCATCCAGAAGTTTTTGCCGAAGGACTGATGCAGGGTTTGTATGAATGGAACAACGAATCAACAAGAGGAGCAAGTACAGTGCCTTGATTGCTTTGAAGCCCCTGCTCGGAGGATGCCTTAGCGAGTCCTCCCGCGGCGCCTTCGATCCTGCCAACCCTGCTACTTTCACCTTCCTCCTGGTATCTCGGACAGGATTGACACATCCGTGCTTTCGTCATCCATTGGGGCGGAAAGGTCCGACGGTGGGCTTCAGGGGTTGGTCTTGGAATCCGATTTAGCTCATGTCACGTGCATCCCGGGCAGGATGTGTGGGAAGCCTCATGCAGTCGGCCTTGACTCTAGAAGAACTGGCTGAGGCAGCTCTCCAGGACTGGACCAGCGGAATGTTCGTCGATGGCTTCGTCCACCTGGGCAGTGACGAGGCGCCGTGTGTGAAACTTTGGCAGAGCTGGCACTAGCCTTAAGGGGTTTTCCGCCTTTCAGGGTGTAGTCGCTTTCGCCCGGATGAGCAGATTGTGAAGCCGGGCCTGTGTTTCCGCTGTTGGGGCCAGATTCTCCTCTCGTCGGCTTAAAGAAGCCGTTTCTGCATCAGTCAATGCACAAATGCACATGATTTCGGAGAGGAGTGTGCGGAGCGCCAGGTCCCTTCGGACTGCTGGAACAACACCAAAGACCTCACGTGGATGATGCTCGGCTTCGGCTTCGCAGGTTGTCCGGCCCTGCTTGTCGCCCCCCTCACAGACACACATGAAGCTTCGTCTCTAAGGAAGAGCCAGGGCCTTGCGAACTTCACTGAGGCACAACGGGTTGGAGCAGGAAAGGTTGAAAGATTTAGGTTTGAGGGGGTTGAAGGTTTCAAGGTTTAGGTAGTTAGTTGGTGCTGCGACAGTGATCGTCAGTTGTATTCCCTGTCAGTTGTCTTGGGGAGGTTGGGGGATCGACCTGCACTGCCTGCTGTTACGATAGATCAACAGGTTCTGCGCATGCAATCTATGCAGGAGATGATGTGCAGAAGCCGGTGGGTTGGAGGGTTGGTTGGAGGGTATGATGCATCCTGTCTCGCACGAACGCCCCATTCCAAAACGGTCAGGGCTGTCCAGTGGAAGTCGGGGCCCGGCCAGGTGTTCGATTACTTCGTGAACCACATGGTGTCGATGGCTAAGAAGCTCGGGAAGCAGACGATCCTTTGGGATGTCGCTTGGCAGAGCTAGTGGAAGTATGCTGCTTGAAACGGTGCCTGGAATGAAGTCCGCATTCAGCGGATGGTGTGACTTTATCAGAATCCACCAGCCTCCCTGCCGACTTGTTTTTCCGTGAATGTTTGGCAAGAGTGAATCGGTCAGTGAGCCATTGCCAAGCGCATGAGATGCCAAGATCCTCCTCAGCCAGCGTTGAGCTTGAACTGTCTGAGGAAGCTTTCATGTCCGCTAAGCCACCGAAGGACGATCGGGAGAATCAGCAGCATCTTTGGGGCTAGAACAGATCCTTCAGCGCGCATCGGGGTCAGCAGCCACTGACTGCAATGCTGCATGTCAATCGCAGATTGCTAGCCCAACAGCGTTTGAAGAAGGTCCCAGATTCGAGCCGAAGGGACAACAGAGCAAAGTTCTTAGAGCCCGGCTTCTTCGAGTTGCTGACATGAGCTGCAGGTCGGCTCGAATTGGCAACACGGTAGTAACTATCCATTCGGCCCGTGCTCGAGGAGGACATGACGAGTCTGGGATGGAAGACCAGGCTCACAACGTATGCATCGTACAGTGCCGTGCTCGCGGCAATCAACAAAACAATAGGCGGCCATGAATCTGCGGAAGGTTTCGGCTTCGTCTTGGCTTACGTGTTCGCCTGGTATTTTCTCCCGGTAGCGTCCATCGAGAATCTCAAAGCGCATGTTGGGCTCCGGAGCCGTCTGGCGGCAGAGGAGGAGGCATCGGGGTTCTTTTCGAGTTGGATGATCGTCACATTCGGGCCAATGGCAGTACTTTGTTTAATCCCCGACAACAAAGAGCATCGGTCCTGGAAGAAGTATGCGTCAGAGATCTTCTACGAGTCACCAGCCTTCTCGATTGCCTACATGTGGTTCGTGACTGCTCCACTCCTGTGTATGGAGCAAGTCGTGTCGAAGGTTCAACGCAAAATTGAACAGAATCTGAAACAGCTCTTACGTCGGCTGACTGCGGTTGAGGCAAGGCGTGCAGACCCTGCAAGCGAACTGCAGGAGCAATGGGATCTGCTCGCAAGTCGTCTGTCCGCGGCAGAGGCAGCGGCATCGGACAGCGTAAGCAAACTACAGGCAGTGCAGGTTGAATTCAGGAAGTACAAGGAGCAGTGTGAGCAGCTCACAAGTCGCTCGCAGGCGATGTACGAAGAAAGCCGCAAACGCTTGACAGAGCAACTTGCCAAAGTTGAAACAAAGACCTTGGCAACGATGGATGTGATTCAGGCACTCCGGATTGGAAACGCCACATGGGAGGGGCAGCGGCTGCATCAAGCGCAGCAGCAACGTACGCGTGAGGATGTCAGCCCTGCTGCGTCCTCTAGCCAAACTTCGAGAGGTGAGGGGTCAAACTTCGTGCAGCGGATGGGATACGAAGTGGTAGAGGTCGATGCTGGTCACGGCGATGATGATGACGACGATGCAAATTCTTCGGCTCTGAGCCACTCGTCGTGGTTCTCCGTGCAGCCTCACTGCTTCATGGTTCAGGCCCTCTTCAAGACCCGGAGCTACGGCGTCGACTTCTTCCTGATGGGCAAGGACTTGAAGAAAGGATCCCAAGTGGTGGGGGCCGATGATAAGACCATCTTGGAGGTCAGTGAGGCTCCTCAGCTTTGTCGAGCTACTGAAGTCGTGGACTTGCAGGCCGGAGATGCGGCGCTGCAGGTGACCCCCGACCATCTCGTCTTGGTCCCTGGCGACGGTCGTGGTGCCGAGAATTACGTTGCTGCAGGCGGTCTGAAGATGGGGGACTTAATCATGCTGGATTCCGGGGAACCTGCACCCCTCACGAGTGTCACGATCCAGCCCAAGGTTTGCGATGTGTTGAAGATCGTCTTCGAGCCGGACCTTCCCGTGGCCGTCTTTTCATGCCCACCCAGCATCCTAAGCAAAGGCCAGCGGATCAAGCCGAAAGTGCGCCGTGCGAGGATGTGCTACAGAGGTCAGGCGAGCGCTGACCAGACTGCAGACGGAGGAGTGTCCGTCCCTATGACGGCCGGCGACTACATGGACTGACCGCCTTGAGCCTATGAGCCTTCGAGTGCCTCTTAATTCACAGACTTCGGTGAATCAGCCTTGGGGATCAGCGCACGGTGCTTCCAGTGCATGTCGCCTCGCGCCCTGTCGCCGGAGATGCTGAAATGCAGCGCACGTGGTCCCGATGTGCGAATAGTCCAGATGCTAATGCTGTGAACCAAAGAATTGGTAGCCTGCAATAAGTCTGAAAGGGATGCGCAGTGCATGCACGACAGCTGCCTAATACTCATTGCTTGGGGCCAGCTCACACTTTTGCATCTTGCGCAGACGCTCGCAAGAGAATCCTCTGAGAGCCTTCGCCGGAGGAAATTCAAGCCTTGCTTGTTTACCAGGTCAGTGTCGCTCTTGGTTGGCGATTGGAAAGTGAGAGCTTGGTCCAAGTTGAAAGAAAAGAGCTGCCAGGAGGCAGTGATCCAGAATTGGCACGACTCGAAGCTCATGCAGCAGATCGTGGACGCAGGCCCCTTCAGGTTGCATTTTTCATAGTGGCTACAGGTCGAGTATGGGAGGTGTTGGCGTATGACAGCACAATCCCCTCGGAGCCTCAGCTGTCCATCCAATTCGAGAGTCGTCCATCATCAGGTCACCATGTGTGCACCTTTTTCGGAGGTGACAGAAGCACCTCAGTTAGATCTGCCCCAACAGACGTAGCAGATAGCTTGCTGCTAATGCTTCTGAAACAAGATGTGGAAGGCAGGACTGTGTTGCGTGACTTTGACAGGATACCGTGCGCTCCTGTCGAATGGATCCTCGGATGCAGTCAAAGAATCAACTCACTGACAGATCGAAGCTTCAGAGTTGTGCGGGATCAGGGTCAGGCGATTGGTCTCGCGGGAGTTGAGCATGTTGTCACTAAATTTAGTCCGTACCGGTTTCGTAGCTGGTAGTCGAAGTGCTTTGCCGATTCTCCTCCATTTTCTTGTTGTGATCCTTCTGAGGATGGTATCTTGACCATCTCACCACGACATGGCAAAGCATGTATGCCTCGCTGCTGCAAGTATTGGTAGCAGGCTCTCTTGTTTCATGCTGCCGCCCGAACGAAGCACGAGCTGCGTCTAGCAGGTTTGCTTTCTGCAACTTCCAACCTCTTGGGTGTGTGTGTAGTGCTCCTTACATTGGCTTGTGCTCTGCAGCTGAAGGTATCGTCCAAGATGTACCATGTTCAATCAATAGTTCCGGCCCTCCATGCGATCGGTAAGGCTATGGACCCCCAGTTCAACATCAGCAGCGACAAGGCCCACCTTGTCCTGGGTGGCGAGGGCTGCATGTGGGGCGAGACTGTGGCAGCTTGGCTTCGAAAGTGCTCAAGGTACGGTGCTGCCGGCTTTGGATGGCAGCAGAAACTGCATAGCAAAACCCAGCACCTGTAGTCGTCCGAAGTTTCTCAGGTAGGCATGCAAGCATAAGCGGCATTAGCGAGCGCTGTGAGAATATCCAATCCGTGGTCCCTGGTCCTGCCATATTTCACGTGAAATGATGCTACCCCACCCACGCAGCACACTGAGCGACCTCAACGCTGCGTGTCTTTTCTTGCCGACAGAAGCCACACGACTCAATACTTTAGTATGGCCATATACTGTGAAGTACGTTTATAAGGCCCTGTTGGGGGTGGACGACAAGCTGAGGATCCTTCAGACATGGAGGCCACAGTTTGGCCCAGAGCGGCTGCCATCGCCGAGCGTCTGTGGAGTGCACCAGGAGAGACACCTCCCACAAGCAAGCGGGTGAGGGTTTGCGGTTTCGTCTAATACTGCTCTACTTTGGACAAGGGTGGGGAGAAGATGGAGACGGGAAGACCTCGTGTTCCCAGGGAGGAGTTTCAAAAAGAGTCCATGTGACTTCGATTCTTTGGCTCCAGGCGTGAACTCAACAGAGGCGGCGGAGCCCCGACTTTTGGCCTTCAGGCCCAGGGGGCAGCCTTAGTATATCTGCGTCGTTCAGTTGGACATGAAGTGTAAGGATTTTCAGTTTCGGCTCGATGTGACAGCCTCTATAGGTCCCAAATTCGGCTTGGGCCGGAAATCATCATCCAGGTTCGAGGTGGCTCAGGCTTTGCCGCATCGCCCTGGGCAGCACGAATGATTGCGAGTCTCCATGTCTCGTACACATTGCTTTGGGAAGCCGGGGCCGTTCCTCCACTCCACCGCACAGAGCCCTCCTGCATGGGCATGTCAAGCGAAGCTGGTCGCCTTCTCGGCTGAACCTTACAGAATTAAAGTCGCCCACAGCCACTTCTGACAGGTGCATGCTCCTGGCCCGTGGTGTCCGCACCGGCGTGGTGGTCGCCCCAACATGTTGATTCTGGACGTTGTGAGTGCCCGGGCGGCCGCATCGCTCTGTGGTATAGTCCATCGATATCAACAATATGCATCTTCAGAAACCACATCGACCAAGAATTTATGGCTTGACCCAGACCAGCAAAAAAAACAGTGAAGTCGAACAGATGCAAGCTGGATTGCAAAGAACCAGCGGCGCTGACAGCTACGGGTCGTATAGGAGCGCATGTGAACCTCGTCCCCCCAAAAACGGGTATATAATGTTTCCTAGAACCTATAACCCTATAACCCTATATATAACCCTAAACCCTATATCCCTAAAGCCCTAAACCCTAAAAACCCTAAAAGCCCTCTAAACCCTAAACCCTCACTCAGCAGAAACCGCGTGGCTCAGGTGGGAGGCCCGGGGCGCGGCGCGCCACCAGGGCCCGGCTCCTGCTCCCAGCTGGGCAAGGAGGGGGACAAGTAAAAAGGGGGGCCGGGGGTGGGGTTTAGGGGTTTAAGCTTTAGGCTTTAGGCGTCGGGTTATAGGGTTATAGGGTTTAGGATTTAGGGGGGCCTTGGGCCTTTGGGGGGGGTTCAACAAAATTGCTGAGAGCGTGTCCTTTTTTGCTATATATTGTGTAAGATGGATCGGGAGTCTTGTTGTCGCGGAGTCAGATGCAAGAAGAAATGCCACACAGTCGTCGCAACAAGCGCAAGATGAGTTAAAGCTGGTTAGGACATACCGAAACTCGCATCGACCAGCATGCCTGTGCAATGGGGCCAGTATAGATCAAGTTTTGTGAGCTGAAGTGCCGTCTAGAGGGTGCCGCACAGGCCCGCGGGCGCGAGGGCTCGGATTATTGCTGCTTGAAAATTTGAGGTCGAGTCCAGGTGAAAGGTCTCTACAAACCCTTCGCCGAGCCACCTCCTTGACAGGACTTTCCTTATGAGTTTGCCGAGATGGAGGTGGAAGGGCTCTTCGTTTGAGGTGCCCTGCTTTGCGTACCGAACTCTGGGTCGGTTGAAGTGAAACAGGAACGACCTGCACAGAAAATACGGTGCTTCAGTGAGCACAAGCATGTGAAACAATTTATGGTGCCCTGCTAGTGAGTGGGAGTTTTGGCAATTTGGAACTCATGCCAGTTATCCAGGTGCTGCTGACACAATTGGCATGCACGTCAGTGAAATCCGGATTGCCTTGTTGTGCAAACCTACATGACATGTGCGAGGCCAGGCGAGTCGCTGCGTCGGTGAAGCCGTTTAGTCAAGAAGCGTGGTGCTGTCCGTTTGGGACGTGCCGCGGAATTAAAAGAGCCTGCTGAGCCAAAAACGCTGGTGCATACTGTATACTGTACTGCTAATCCTTCTGATGGCGACAGCTCATGCCACTTGTGACGATGTGATCTTGTGGTTGTTCTTGCTTGTACGGCCCTGCTTTGTAGGAGTTACGCAGCGGCTGGGATTCTGGTGGCCGTCGTATAGGTTGCCAAATCTATCCTGTACTATACACCCCAGATTGGGATCCGAACTGCTACTGCGAGGGAAGCCCCGAAGGCAGCCGGAGATGTGGAGGCGCGCATAGTCCGGGGTAAAGCTGGGGGAAGAGCTGGAATAACTACATCCTGACTGCGCTTCAGAATATTGTTGTCCTCTTGCTGCAGGTAGCCGTAAGAAGAGCTGAACGGATCCTCATGTGAAGGTCAGGGGACGAGCCAGTACTGAGAGCCCATGTCCAAGCCTGGGTTGGCTCAGGACGAATTCTTCCGCCTCACCGGCATCAGGCCGAGAAGTCCGACCTTCTTTTGCAGCCTTTTCCGAAGCGCAATGCATGCATGCGCAGCTTCTTCGTCGCAGTCATAAAGCTATGAGAGGAAGCAATCATGCACGCGGCTTGTGATCTCGGATCCTACTTCTACCTTTACCCATTCCTCCTTTGCCCCTATACTCAGGCCATGCAACCCTTCAGCTAAGCGCTGAATCATCAAGCCGCCGCTGAAATCCACCCGACAAGGCCTTCTGTCCCGACACCCTCTGCTTGCTTTAGACGCTGCAGGCCGGACCCGGTGGTCATCCCGAAGAAGGAGAAGCCGAAGGCCGGATCTGCAAAGCTCCCAAGCACCCGAAGTCTGTCAGGAAAAGCCCTAAATGGGACTTTCCGAAAATTGGGGTACCTTATTTTGGGGGTCCTTATATAATAAGGATCCTACTATCTATTTAGGGCACTAGATTAGGGTCCCCTATTTTCGGAAACCGCCCGCACCCCCAAGCCCACTAAGCACCAAGACTCAGAGGGCACAGCTGCAGCCCCATGAGAGTGTCAACGCCGGCGCACAGGAGCCACCTCCCGAACCGCCGAGACCCAGCTTCAAAGAGCGCGGGGGGCCCCGACACAGTTTGGCACAGCCTTGTAGTTAGCCGAGGCGAGGGTCAAAAGGCTTGAACATCTGTGATTGAGCATGGAACTGTAGAAATAAGGACGGTTGAAAAGTTCAAGCTTGCGAGTAGCCTTCAGGGAGTTGGGGCCGAGGGCCCCTCGGAGAGAATGTCATCCAGCTAGCAGCTATAGCTGTCTGCACGCAGCTCGACTTCAAGCGTCTGAGGATTTCCAGAGACTGAGAGTTCGCGTCCGAATACATGAGTTTATGCTACTTCACCCATAGTCATACTGGGCTTCCAGCATTATAGCAGGTGGTTTGTTTACTGGCAGTACTGCCACTGCGCATAAGACACTAAGCAGGAATGAGCCATCCATATGCACTAGATCTAGATGGCAATCCACTCGACTATCCCCGCAAGAGCTGGCCTTTGAGGCCTTGTAGTGTCTTTTGCATGAACTGGCTATTCCATGGCTGTGCAGAAGACAGTAGGCCTGTCAATTGCATCCCCAAACGCAGCAAGGTGTCGTGCGCGATCTGCTGGATAGGTCCGGAACTTGGGCGGAAAGCATTAGATTTCTGCCTGGACTGGGTTTATCAGAATCAGGGCTTGCAGCGTCTTTGTTCTTAGTTCATAGTGCTTGAGGAGTAAAGCGTCTCAGCAGGTGTAACATGTGGACACGCACTTTGCCATTGCATAACGGTTCATCCCATACCACTCGTACATGTGACCCTTTCACAGCGCCTAGCATGCACAAGTTTCCCGATTCCAGATCCGATCCCCTTGCTCCGAGCCTGTTTGAGCTCAAGCGTGGTAATCTGCCCCACAAAAACCGCAGAGCACGTGGAAAGAATGCGAACTCGAAACTTGAACCGCTGGCGCGACAGCTGTGAAGTGCAGCTAACCGCCAAGTCTCATCACGTCTATGGTAATCACAGAAAGACATACAGAGAGAAACCTATATATGAAGGCAGCACACAAGAAGCCCCCCCGGGCCCCATCTCATCCTGATTTGCACATGGCGAAGAAGCGCCGGCGTGGCGCTGAGGGAGTTGCAGCTGAGGTCGAGGCGAGTGCAAAATAGACAACTTGGGGTCTATGCTTCAGGAGTCTGTCGAGCCAGAAGCTGTGACTTCGGATGTTCCGTCGCACGATTTTGAGTGAAGTGCACAGCCCTGATTCCGAAGGCCTTCATAGACCCGAAACCCTCACATCACAGCCTTTACATAAACCCTGTTTAGACCCGCACCGGTCGAGCACAGCAGGCCGAGGATGTCCAGGATGTCCAGCCGCAGCCACAGCGCAAAGCGAAGCGAAAGAAGGCGGCAATGCCAGAAAGTGCGGCCAAGGTCCCGGCTGTTTCTGCACTCTCCTTGTACTCTGTTTTTGAACCTCTCACGACTAGGGTGGACATCGGTTTTCGGTCCAGAGGGTGAAGCCTGGGGCAGAGAAATCCCTAAATCATATCCCCTGAAAACAAACCCTAGCAAAGGCACGCGATTCAACAGGTTATTGCCGTTGCACATCGCTTCTTGAACCTTGGCCTTTGGCACCTCGATGATGTTTATCATGATAATCGTCCTGCACAGTCCAACACAGCCGCTAGTATCGGCGAAGCTACACAGAAGATTTGCAGATTTACAGGACCAAGTGTTCTGCGCAAGTACACCAAGCGCCGCTCATCGTTTGTGTATTGCGCTTCGAAGCTGGCGACAGCACATCTGTCTTCGGAATACAGTACATGCGTACACATATTTTCGTTAGGTAATCTCTCTCACACACACACGGGCACGCGCGCACGGCGCGCGCGCGAAATACACTCACTCGGAAACCCCTACAATGATAGCTACATGTTCACATAGACCGTGTGCAGGATGATGGTTGCCTGGCACCCTCAACTGCACGAGCCTTCCAGGAGCCCACTCGCAAAGCCAAGCGGAAGAAGGCGGCTAAAGTGCAAGCCGCAGCCAAGGCCCGTTTGGCGAAAGACCCCGGTAAGGAGAATTCCGGTACTTCCGGCTTTAAGTTGAACTTAATTAGTCGAGCTGAGTGCTATGAGGCCTGACGCTTGTGGTGTCATGGCGTATACCTTGAACAACTGTAGCTCTCGCAAGCCGCAAGGATTCACAAAACAACCTGCAGACAGCTCGCGCTTGCCTTCGAAGTGACCCTAAACCAACTTTAAAATTAGTTCATACCGTAGACATGAATCTCCGAAACCCTGAACCTTCGGTTCCTGATACAACCACCATCGACAGGCTACTGAGTTCTCGGCGGAGGCTCAGGCCGTGATGGAGGAGCTGACCGACCCCGCCTCGAAAGGCCAGTGTGTCACAGTTTTTGTGGTTCGAGTGTAGGCTCCAAGAGTTTTGGGAAAGTCGATGTCCCTGCGCTGATGAAATATCTGTTGAGTTTCATATACGCGTGTCTATCTACCCACCCGATCTATCTATGTACCTATCTATCTATCTGTCTATCTATCTATCTATCTATCTATCTATCTATCTATCTGTGTATCTATCGATCTACATCTATCTATCTGTCTATCTATCTATCTATAAATGTGTGTGTGTGTGTGATAGACCGTACACCATTGGACCATATGCGTTTCTTACATGAGTATCAGTGTATATAGGTAATTAGCTGGGATTCTATTAACTGCATTCCAGCAGGTACGCTCTCCGACCGCTTGAACCCTACGCACCCTCGCTACGACAAGCAGCTGAAAGCGAGATGGAAATCCTTCTCCAAGAAGGAGCCATGGGCAAGCTTCGTAGTCTAGCAAATTTGGATTGAGTGTTTGCTGTACCACTCAAACAAGCAGCAAGCCCTGCTGCCGCTGCGAAAAGACATCCAGCTTTTACGAGGTTCAGGAATGACGTCCGTTACTGGTTGCGGGAGTCAGCACGACTGTGCTGACTCCATGTTTTCGAGAACCAAAGCAGCAAGCAGGATTAAGAAGAGCCACCTTCTGCAGCGAGCTGCAGCAGAATCGAACAGCTGGGAGGCATGAGATAGATCTTGGCTCATTTCTCCAAATACGCACACAGAATTTGCTTGAGTCCTTGCCAGCTGCCTTGTCTTCGCAAGAGCCGACGGCTCTCTCTCTCTCTCTCTGTCTCAAGCTCTTTTGCTTCTGCACTTGACAACCCACTTGGCTTTAGTCTGTGATCTTTGCGGCAGCATCGTAACCACAGCTTGCCTTGAGAGGAGAGGGCTGCCATTGTCGAATGTGACAAGAACAAGATGAAGGCTGGGTGCCAATGAGACAGGCAATTCTCCACTCGGCCAGATAGACAGGACTATGCTCGTCGCATGGGAGCCTTAGACTGTTGAGTCTGGACAGAACCCTGGCAGCTTCTTCGTCCACGAGAGATTGCAAGCCCCACCTGTGTGCAGGCAACAGTCAGCGCGGCTGTGTCTATCCAACATCCCTTTGCCACGAACGAGGATGATCCTTGCACAGGCTCTGGCCAAAGCAAGTCATCAAGTCTACATGCATAGCAAGTTCGCATCGACGACTGCTTTTTCATTTGGGTGGTTGGGAACAAGTGAGAAATCGCCTTCAGACAGACAAGTTGAGTCGAACCGATGGCCCTCCTTTCTTCGCAGTTGAAGTGTCCAAGTGCAGACTCCAGGGCTTGATGGCCAACTCAGGATCATTGCGAGACTGCTTTGGAAGCCTACCGCGACGTGCTGCCCATCTTGCAGCACATAGCTTCTGAGCTTCAGCTACAGTTGTTGTCACCAAGGCTTCTCTAGTCCCCAGACCTCTCTCACCCAGTCCCCTGGCACTGGAGAGTTCGAAACTCTTCCTGTGAATTATAACCTCTTTGGGTCGGGGCCCGGGCTCCGAGATCCACCTGATGTTGACGCATGACCGTCTGGCCCGCTTTGGCTCAACAGGGAAAACCGCGGAGTACTGCACCTGGGTAGCTGGCCTTAGCCTCCGCCCAGCAATGGCAGACTATGAAAAGATCGCCATGGCGGCGATGGAAGAATTAGACGGCCACATGTGCTGGCCCGTGGAGTGGTTCAAAGAGGAGCTGCCACGGAGCTGCATTGATTGAATTTTCGAAGGACCGCTCTGAAGAGTTGTCGAGTCCACCGAGACACCTGTTGAAGTTGTTGGGTCATGTGACTCAGGCCAGTGGAAACCAAAGATGGCTCGGCCATGGATGTCGTGGTCAAAGCCCGAGCTTTGCAAAAGAGCAGTTTAGCTTGTTCTTCACAGATGGCTGTAGTTGTTGCTGATGCACCTCTGTCTGCCTGGCCTAGACAGACTTCGTGAAATCTTGAACGTATGCTGGAGTTGTGACGGGGATGCAGGGGATTTGCGCATCGCGCGCGAGGTTGAAAAAATCATCAACCAGTCCAACAAGATTCCGAAGCTGATGGACCCGTACGTGAAGGGGCAAGTGCAGGACTCCTCTTGCATGAAAGTTTGACCCCGCAAGGCTGGATACTGCCATCTACATGGGTAGTTATTGTTATCTAAAGTAGGTTCCGCTGAACTTTTAGGTTCCCAAAATAGTACGGCACCCTCAACAAAAAGAACCCTAGAATCAAAAAGGGACCCTAACTTAGAGAACTACCCATACTGAGTTTTTTGTTCAGTCCCCCACCAGGAGCCCCTGGAGATCCCGAAGCCGGACACGCCAGCCAAGCTGAACATCCTCGCCTTCTCCGACCACTCCGGCTACTGCAAGAACTTCTTTGCAAATGCACCCGAGGGACGGATAAGCATGAAGAAGGCCGGCATGTGCCTCAAGCTTTTGTGCTCTTAGTGGCGCACCCTTGCTGGGGGTCTTGCCAGGTGGTGGAGAACTACCACTCCCTCACCCAGGAGGATGTCAAGAAGCTCGTCAACGAGCCCAAGAAGGGCTGGGACATGGTGGTCTTCACGGCGGGCTGCGACCCACCGAGGAGCAACAGTGTCCCAGATGTCATCGAGCAGAGCCTTGGGCCGATCTGGTGTGATGTAAGGTTTGGGGTTTGCGGGTGTTGAGAGCTTTAGGGTTAAAGGGTTTAGCGGTTTTAGGTTTAGGGATGCAGAGTCTAAGGACTGAGGCATTAGGGTCTCAACTTTGGGGTTTCGAAGGTCCGGCATGTAAGGAAGCATGCAGGGTTTAGGAGTGTGATGTCCCTTCAGCCGAGGAACACCGTGATCTCCAGACTCTACTTCTGGCTCTCCTATGAGCTGCAGAGAGCTGAGACCAACACCAGGATCTTCTGTCTCGTGCGTGGGCTCTTCCACGAAGACAAGAAGACTCACATGAAGGCCAGTGCCTGACTCCCAAGTCCTCCACGAGTCCTTACAGCATGCCATTGGGCTTTCTGTGTTGCGACATCGCGGGGCTAGTCCGCTAAATAAGGGCCGCTTTTAGAGCAGAAGGGCACGTCACTCTGACGATCTCTGACCCATATGAACGGTACGGCCATTTGGAGCTGCTCAGCAGGCCCCCGTTGTTTCAATACAGGGGCTTGAATTAATTGGCTAGCAACATTATACCCTTGCCAAGAATTGATAATATAGTATATAACATTAACAGACTCCGAAACCCTGTTGTGCTTGTTCTTGATAAATCCCCGGGTTGTGTTGTGTCAGGCTGGTCTGGGCCTCTGCGTCTCGGGCACCTTGTTCGGCATGTGCAACACCCTTCGCCAGGACGGCGGGCATCCGACGATTTCTAAGAACAGCAATATCAGAATTCCGAAATTACCCTCCATGATCCGTTGGAGTGCGGTGCACAACGTACTCCAAATCCTTCTTCTCGTTGTGTAGTCTCCTGTCTTGGGCCCTTTGTTTATTCTTCCCAAAGATCATATGCGGCATGTGCTCTTCAGACGCGAGGTTCTCGCAACAGGCACGTTATTGCAGGGGTTCAGGGTCGTATGGCATCTACTTCCACAGGAGCTGGAGTATTGCGACATCCACTTTTGCGACACTGAGTCGCTTGGCGCTTTGCAGGTATAGTGTTGGTGGTGGCGAAGGGGGCCGTGGTCGCGGTGACGGTGGGGTGGGGGAGGTCCTTGGTGATATCGGTACTGCCATTACCACTGGTTGTGAGGTTTCTAAGTTCTTCCTGTTGAAAAGCTTGCCATCAGCTCCGCTTCACATCCGAAAGCATGAACACCCAAGCCCAATCCAAAGCCCTTCTGCCCAAAGGCCCAAGAGCAACAAAGAGCGGGGAAAGGTTCGACTGTGATCTCTGCTGCAGAGAATAAGGTACTTCCTCCCGGACGACAGCGATGTTTGGGCCCGGGTGGCTGCCGAAGCCTTCCGGGAGACTTGCGTGTTGCTGTAATTGTAGGGCTTAGGATAGCAGCCCGCGATATCGGTAAGGGCCTTTAGGGCTGCAAGTGTAAACGGGGAATCGTGGTGATTTGGAACCGTCTGTCTTGGAGTTGAGGCTTTCAGCTCTGCTTAGGGATGCCTTAAGTTTGAGAAAGCAGCACCTGTAACAATAGGAGCGACGAAAGGTAACACTCCACAGAATCGTTGTTTCAAGCGTATGTTGCCGCATCTGAGCCCCAGGCAACCCAAGCTCTTCCGTCATCCCCCTAAACCCACCCTACAAACCCGAAACCCTAAAAACCCTATAAACCCGAATAAACCCTAAAAGCCCTATACACCCTAAACCCTGAAAGGGCCAAACTCCGAACGCAGCAGTCCGAAAGCTGCAGGACACAACTTTTGGAACGGTGGATGTCCGGATCCTCTCCTCCGGCCGGTGAGCCCTTCATATAATATGATATAGTATAGTATATTATAACATAGCATAGTATAGTATAATGTAGTGTGGTATAGTATAGTATAACATAATACTATGAGAATTTGGGGCAGTGTGTTTTCTGTCGGGAAGTGGGGGGGGAGCGTTGTGGACCAGGGGTATAGAACTTGTTTGAGGCTATGCCATGGGTTTCATCTTCGATTCAACTTGACCTGACCGTTCAGATTGCACGTCTAGACATTTTATCTGCGTAAGCCATCCTTGTCAGTTTGCATCGGTGCTGCATCGAATAACGTGGCCGACATCTAGAATCCTTTGCGATTGTTGAGGTTGTCGGGGTGGAATGTCATTGAAACAGCCATTGGGGTATGCTCACGCGCTTAATGTGGCTTGGAGCTTGTGGCTGCGTTTGCAACAGAGGCCGTGGGGATTGTTGATTGCCGGCTCCTGCAAGGTTGTTAACGTCGTCGTCGTCGTCATCATGCCATATCATGCCTATCACCAGCATTTTTGCCGAGTATCGACGCATTCCACAACTGTCAAACTACTATGTTCCAGGAACAGCAAAGACTGAGCGTTAGGAGTAGCAGTGCACAGTGCTCATAAGACGACTGATTTTCTGCCTTCAAAGCTCGTCGACTGGATATGCACTTGTCGATGCGTGAGTGGCGCAGGGATACAAGCTTTTGGTGGGGTGTTTCTGCGTGTAGTGCTCATGCAGGTTGTCTTGAAATGCCTTGTAGTCAAAATCTGTTCCTTGCGGCATTCCGTTGCAATTAAAGTTTTGCGGGGCTTCAGGCGTTCCTTCCCGTGCTTTCTTTCATGTCTCGAGAACCTGAAGGTGAAGCCTTCTTCTTCCCGAATCAGGCATAAGAGGCTTCAGACTCTTCAAAGCACAATCCGAGGTTCTTTTGACTTTCTCTTGCTGGATTGAGGTTCCTATGGCCGTCGAGAAGTCAGTCTTCAGTGTTCATGCTGCCTTTGTGTGCATGGCGATACCAAAAACCGTTGCGGATGACAATGTGGTCCAAGGTAGGCTACAACCTCCCCGGCAATTTTGGGGTCGACGTCTGGAGTTTGTCAGGCCTTAAGGTAGCAATAGCAATACAAGAGGAAACGGCAGACATGGAGATGTTTTTTAGTTTCCCGGACGGCCAAAATGTCTGAAACCGGTGTTGGTTCAAAAGTTTAGCAGCAGGCAGATGTTCCTTCGGTATCGTGGTTCACCAGACTTCGCCTTGGTCAACATACCGTGGTCTGAGAGCATGAGTCAATGAGAGGCCATGACTTCATGCCAGGAGAGTTTCGTCGTGTGTTTCCGTCCGCTATCTTCGCGCAGGCGCGAGGCTAGATGTATGTCATACTCCGTGGCGTGGCGAGAAAAAACTTCTGGGTGTTCGGCAGATGGTTAGAGGCCAATCCTGTCGCATGTACACCGCGGAAAGGAACGCACAAAGGAACATGTCTGAGGCTCTCGTTAGATGCTTTCGATTTTCCGATCCAGGCTTTGGGTGGGTTGTTAGACATCTGGTCGTTGGCAGGGATGGTGCCATCGTTGTTGCCAGGTACGTGCAGAGACGTGTGTCCTCCAAGGTCTACCAGGCAGCGAACAAGGAGACTTGACCTTATCAGTCCATTCATGGTTTGGCCTGGTGAGGTTTGAGACCGTTGCACAAGCTTGGTAATCTCTAGCGTAAAGATGCTTTCCCTGCACAGATCGATTCGCAATCTCGTTCTTTCTTGCCTGTCCTTAATGCAGAAGCTACCCGTTAACTAATCCAGCAGTACCTTATGCATTCCCAGATGTCGATTGGGACGATAGCGGTATTGCGCTCCATGGGTTCGGTTGCATATAATAATGGTAGCAGTAATAATAACAATAAGAAAGATGAAGAAAATGTTAAGAATAGTTGTAGTAGTAATGCAAAAGAAGAAGAATTATAGTAACCATGGTAATCATACTAAGCCTTCAGTCAGGCATTCCCCATGCCCAGCGACGGCATCATCGCCATCTCTGGAGGACGCCTTTTCCTCGTGTTGTCAGCACAAACAGCGAGGAGCAGCAACGACCACGACCATAGCAAGAGCAATAATTATGATAATAATATCAAAAATAAACAGTAATGACAAAAAGAGCAATGATAGCCACAGTAATGCTTCCAAATGTAAGTGGTGATGCCGTCCAAGCACACCATGACAAGCAACGTGAAGAACAACAATGGGCTGGAGATGTGGTGCGGCAAGTAGCAACTCAATCCAGAAAGACATCAGCAGCAAGCATACTCAAACACATCAGCAATCGAAGTCATCAACAGTTGCAGGCATCACGGCGACACCTGTCATCACTCGATAACAGAAATAACGAGCTATAGCGAGCTGTGTTGCATCAGGAGTACCATGAACAGAAACAACTGCAAGAACGAAACCCATCCCAAGTACAAGCGCCAATAGCGGCACATCGTTGATTTTGGCAGAAGGCATTTGGGGCTTGCTTGAAGTTCAAGCTTCTTCGATCACACACAGAGACCGAGCTTTCGGCCCTTGACAGTCATAGATGTGCTGATCGAGTTGCAGCAGCCCTGCGTTGCGACTCGTCCATCGCCTTGCTCCTCGCTTTAGGCTTGCGTCCTGGAGTTGGCATGCGGTGGGTTGCCAACGTGAGACCGCCCAAGTGGTGGACGTGTGTTGCTCCTGACGCTCCTGGTCCTTGTGTTGCGGCTGTGGTTATGGTTGTCGTGGTGCTCGGGGCCGCGGTTGTGATTGTGGCGTTGTCTGTGCAAAGGTTGTTTTGAGTAGAGGTGATGATGGTGGTGCCTGTGTTCGTTGCTGTGTTGCTAGTGGTAGTGCGTGTTCCTTTGTCCATTGTGGGTACTTCGCTCGGTGTTACTTCGATTCGATGTTAAATTCTAGTCTTTTTGCCCTGCGACTACACTGTTGTTACCATTGTGCTGATGACATTCCCGTTGGTGCTCATCCTTCTCCCTGTGTCCGTGGTGCTGGTGCTTCGATGATGGTGGTGGTGGTACTGCTGCTGCTGCTGCTGCTGTTGCTGCTGCGCCTGCTACAATGCCTTCTGGTGCTCCTCCTCCTTCTCTCCAAGCTCAGGACTCTACTCATGGTCGTCCTTATCCATCTCGTTTTCCTTGACGTTTCTGATGCTGCTGTTGTTGTTGCGGTCTTCGTCGTTGTGGATGTGCCTACTGCCAAATTGCCAGATCCTGGCGCTATCGGTCCATTACTCAACCCGTAGCCTGTCTCCCTCTCTCTAGTAGATGCCCAGATACCTATCGGAGCCCCAGGCCTGCGTCACGCCGGCAGTGTTTTTCCATCACTCCAAAGCCTTTCTCGGCCTCGAGCATCTTCCTCCCGAAGTCTGGGCGGAGCCAGAAGCACAACAGGAAAACAACAAACAAAAACAACAAGATAGCACTCAAGGCGCCCGTCCGTGAGGCTCGTTTTTGGTTGTCCTTTATGTGTGTTATGTTCGTTTTCGTCTTGTTTTTGCCACGGAATAAAACAAAGGAAAACACACGTAACTGAACAATGAAACACAAAGAAAACGCAAAGAGAACAATCACAAACCAAAATTGAAGCAGAAACAATAACAAACACACCACAAGTAAAACCTCCCATGCCCAATTGTTCCGTTTATTGTTTGATTTTATGTTGTTCTTTTGTGTTGATTTATCTTTTCCTTGATCTCCAGATGTCATGCTGTTTTCCATGTCTTAAATCTAGACTTGGTATCTTAGAGTACAATTCACGTTTTGTTGGGCATCCCTCCTTTTGCGCCCGACCCAACGCCCCCAAGCCTAACTTTAGTGCCGATCTGCCAAAAGTCGCTGCGGAAGGAAACGGCGCTCTCGGACTTGTGATGGGCAACTGGCTGCTGGACAAGGCGCTTCCTTCTGTGGATGCTAGAGCCCTCCTCCACACTGCTGCTTGCACCAGCAGCCAGCGCTGTAAGGTAGCAGAGACATGATACACAATTGGCGGTACTTTTGCCAGAGCACAGCAACGACGACAACCGCAACCGCAACAACAACCACAACCATATTCAGTACGACAGTAGTGAGCAGCAGTCGAATTAGTCGCAGTCGTAGTCGCACGGCACTCGCAAGCAATATTCGCAGTCGCAGTAGTCGTAGTAGTCGTAGCTGCTCGAGCGAGGCTGCAGAACAGGGAGTCGGTGGCTTTGAGATCAAGTTCCTGTCTCGATCGATGAAGATCTCTGCTACCGGGCATTCGATTGGGAGAAGAAGGGGGGAGGGAGGCGAGTTCGGATCTGATGTGCCAAGGAGGTGGCCAGTGCTTCGTGAGAGACAGGCCGGTTTTCAAGAATGTGAATTTATCGTATTTGCTGGTGTGAGACATAACATGTACCAAGGAGCCGATCATCCAAGGCACTTAGGGATATTCGCGTCTAATCGCCTTAGCCCCAAGCAGCAGGAGCCGCTTGTGGTCTCTGAACCTCACAAGATGCGCTGAGGATTTGAACATGCCGCTGTGGAAAGACATTGAGGCCAAAGCTGCGAAGCTGGGCATCACTGTCGGGCAAGGACGGCCGTGGAACAAGTTCGTCTTACTTGAATGTTCCAGAATCTCAAGACGGACAGCTTTCATGAACTTGGATATCGGGACTTGGTGTCCGTATGATTTGGAGCAGTTGTTGCGCTTTAAGACTTCTTTGCGTTTTCTGAAGCCTATTTTGCCTTACAGCCTTACGCTGCACAGATGTCCTCCTCAAGATGAGAAAGGATCAGAGATTCGGTACTGAGGACTGTGACGCGCAAACATATCGACGTCGCTGTTCGATACTCATGAACTCAGAAGAAGCATCCCCCATCATTAACACCATCACATCAACACAGTCATCTTCATCGGTAACACCATGCATCGTAATCATGTTATCATTGTCCACATCATCGGCGCAACCCTCATCCTCAACCTCACAGCCCCGTCAGAACCATCGCCGTAGTCATCCTTGCATTGCATGGCTATCCGCGCCAAACTCAGTATCATCATACCATCCATCCCCACCTGACCATTGCCATCACCAAACCCAATCATCATCACCGAATAGTTCATTAATTGCAACATCGTTTCAATCTCTGTCGTGGCTTTGCTGTTCTGATGATAAACATCATTATCCACCCCCATCACCATTGCCCCGACCATCACCATCGTCATAGCCGTCAATCATCATCATTGCTAAGGTACCATAGTCCATGGTCGTCATGACCATGGTCAGCATGACTTAAAACAGCATCGCTTCGCATCACTGTGCCGCCAGAATCAACACTCAAACTAGTACAAGTGTCATCATCAGCAGCAGCATCGTCGACATCGTCCGGATCGTCGTCACCACAGGGGCAGCGCCGCGCGAGAACTAGACATTAATGTGTGGCCAAACACCTCAGAAACTTCAATTCACCTGAAGACGGATCTTGACCCTGCAATCATTGCAAACTTCCACCCTCCCTGCCAGGCAAGATGGACATGTCCTCGCAAGAGGGCTGTAACAGTTTCATCGCGTCCTGCAACGGCATGCTGAAGGGCTTCATCCACTCCGCAGGCGTTCTGCAAGACTCCATGCCCTTGGGCTCTTGTTAGCGGGTTTATGTTTCTAGACCGGCAAGCCGCCCGGCTTAAGCCAAGAAGTAACCTTGCAACAGCAAGCAAGGCTCATGAACCTGACGTGGGAGAAGTTCGAGACCGTCTACCAGTCCAAGCACCACGCAGCTTTGTTCCTGCACCAGGCGATCGAGCTCAATCCGCAGAAGGATCTGCGATTCCTATGGAACTTCTCCTCCACGTCCGTGTACGGCAACATGGGACAGCTGAACTACTC